CCACCAAAACACACATTGGTTTCCCAAATAGGAAGCAAGGTGGATAATTAGTTTTGGTTTTTAATTATCAAGTGAGGTATATTTCTTTCTTGTAAGCATCTTGCAGAATGCATTGATCCTGCTTCTCTCAATTAATTTGGAGAGCTGTGAAAATAAAACAGAAAAGAAGCTGAAAGATATTAAAAATCGGCTTTTCAGAATATGATTACCCCATTTGGTCCTACTGCATGCCCAATATATAAAAAGCACCTGTGAAAAGGAACATGAAATGGCACAGTGGTGGACTGTTAATATATAATAAAAACTTTTTTGGCGCAGTTACCCTACGCAGGACATGAAATTGAAAGTCACAGCCATTAATGTATGGCTACCATAAGCATTAGGACTGTAGAGAATCTGTACATTGGTATGGAAAATTATTCCAAATCACAGGTCTCGATGTGTCCATAGTGCATTCATAAGTTGGCAAAGACAAAAGTCCATCATGTCACACACATGTTCAATCAGGGACAAATCTGGAGAATTCAGGAACTCACTTTGTTCCTGTTGCAACATCTGGTAGAACGTGTGCCATGTTTATGGTGTTCACCTAATTGCCGTATATGCTGACACAGTGGTTAGTACTGCTGCCTCACTATTGTAGGGTTCTGGGTTTGAATTGAATCTCTGGCACCCATCTGCATGGAGTTTGCATGTTCTTTCAATGTGTGTGTAAAATTTTGCTCGGTGGTTTAGTTTCCTGCTATGTCCTAAAATCTTTAGGTTAAGTGTGATTGCCTATTCTAAACTGCCCAGGTCAAGTATGAAAATTTTGAATGAAGACTAGAGTTACCTTAGGTTGGCAGTGTTATGTCTCTCTAGAGATCATTGAAAAAACAACTTCAAATCCTCTTCCTTCCACAGTCCTGTGCATGTTAATGTCTTTTGACATTATGATTGACATTGTAACAACTCAGGAATGCATTGATAGTGTGACATACACTTTCTGAAATTTATGCTGGCATGGCATATCTTCTTGAATATTGCACACCTAGTTCACATGATCTAGTAAATAAACTCGATATACAAGGATTTTAAGAAGTCATGTTTGAAAACTTTTCTTTGACACCAACTTTCATGTGAAGATTGTGATTGGTTGTCCTACTTCCATCCATTTTGTAGCCGTTTTATCTGGTATAGGGCTGTGGGAGAGCCAGAGCCTTGTTCGCAAGCAACAGGCAGAAGGCAGGGTACACTTGGATGGAACACCAGTCCATCACAGGATACATACAGACACAGACAGACACACACTCACACCAGGACCGACTTTCTCATAAGCTCATGAATCTACCAGTATGTCTTTGGACTGTTGGGGGAAACCAGATGACCAGGTGGAAACCTTCAGTATGTGAACTCGGGGAGGTCTGGAATTGAACCCAGGCCCACGGTGCTCCAAGCTAGCAATGCTAAACAATGTGCCACCATGATGCCCAGTATGTAATAATTTATATAGTGAACTTTTTTGTGAATGAGGAGTTTTTTCCTTTTTTCTGTTTCAAACAGCTGTTCAGAGCATTCTGAAGGGTGACGTTCCTCACTACCTCTAGAGCATTTGGAGCTACACATAACTCAGTAGGATTCAGGCCAAACAATCGTGATGGCAAATCACTTATTTTGAATTCTAATCCTGAGAAGCTATTTGATTGAATACTGTGCTCCCGTTTATTTTGGACATTTGAAACTATTGCAAGCATTTTACCATTTGGCATCACTGGTATTAGGAGTGTCTCAATATGCTGCGGCATTTAACATCCTTCAGTCATGTCACTGTTTCAAGTTCCTGAAGTGTAAAACCATGATAGTGCTGTGCATGAT